TAGATTTATATTCTGTATCAGCAGGTTTTTGTCTCTTTTCTGTCTCTTTTCTCTTTGTTTTAACTTCAGGTAAAGAGTATTTTTCCTCTGCAAAAGAAAACAATAAACAGCAATAACTCTTCAAATCATAACACAATATCTCTTCTTCTACTCGCAAATATAAATGTGGTATTGACTGAAAGTTTAGAATATGTCTCTAAAAATGGATTTCTAAATTTAGTCAGATGTGTGGAAGTTATCTTAGGCAGTCATGCGTCAGCACCAGTTAACCCACACCAGTTAGCTACCTCAAACACAAACAGATGCAATGATTTGGTAGTGATAGTTAAATAAAATGAAAATACAAATAAATATATTTTTTTGAAATGGTAGTTGGTCTCAAGATCGGAGTCTAAATTTGGCGAGAGAGTTTGATTAGTTTGATTGTCGAAGACAGTCTTGGGCAAAACATCTTGAGTCTGGACTTGAGTCCGAGGCCAGACTTGAGTACTACAGCCCTAAATCCAGGCGCTTTCATTAACAGACCAGAATAAAATAAAAGCTAAATAGGAACTGAAAGTGAAAGGCTAAAACAGAACTGAAGAAGAAGTTAATAAGAATAAGAATAATTTCCTCACAAATACAGCCGCGTGCAAAAGTTTGGGCGCCACCAGTCAAATTTTGTGTATTTTCTGAGTGAAAGTAAGTCAATACGTCCTTGACAAAGAACACACTTCTGCACATTGTAATGCACTATTACTGTTTATTAGCTGAATTGAATACGCTGGGGGAAAATAGGCATAAAATGTAGCCTGTGCAAAAATTATGGCACATTTTATACTGTCTTTCCAACATTTTAAACCCAGCAAACAAATAACTAAACTAAAATTTGCAGAAAGTTTAAGAAGTCTAAAGTATGTTTAAAGTCTGTATAGCGGTGGTTTCCAACCCTGGTCCTCGAGATCCACCGTCCTGCAGAGCCTAGTTCCAACCACAGTTTGCCACACCAGCTCCAGCTAATCAACCTCTTTGCAGGTCCCTGTTTGGCTGAAGTTAAGTAAGGGGTGGGGCAGCTTATTGGAACTAAACTCTCTAGGATGGTAGCTCTCCTGGACCAGGGTTGGAAACCACTGCTTTGCATATGACTCTATGCTTCTGTATGCATCAGATTATACGCATTTGAGAATTCACAGCAAAAAAATACAAATCCTTCAAAGGTGTACAAGTAAATTTGACTAAATACAATAGGTTACCACTACTTCTACCTAAGTCTAATCCTTTCACTAGCCGTAACACATCCAAATATCAACCAACTACAATCCATAGTGACATAATGTAATATTTGTCATTGGATTTCATTGTAGACAATGGCACTTCTGCATCGAGCATGATCTACTTCTCCCAAGGGCCGTTAAACTACCCAGTGAAGAACAGCTGTAATATCGGGAGGCTCATTTCCTCTGCTTTGTCAGTGTGACCGACTAACAATGCACATATTACTTGATCGATTGACACTAAGTGCTCGAATGCAGCTATCTCAAATGAGGCATGCAAACTTGCTGCTTAACATAATCACAACAGGGAGCCCCAGATAATGATGTGGTCAAGGCTTCTGGCAGAACGTGGGTATGGTGGCTATAATCTTATTGATAGCAGTTAATACTAGACTCCGTGTGTTTATGGGAGCAGCAAACAGCCCTTGCCCCACTCTCCGATTATCATAAAATGAGATGAAGTGCCTCTTGCTTCAAAACCGCTGCCTCTGAGGAACGAGGCTCCTACGGAGAGCTTCATAGAGTTAGCCTGACGCTTCTCTTTAAGACAGAGCCAGATAGCACTGAGGCGTTCAAAAGCCTCCATCAAAAGCCTCCCTCCAGTGGGTCATGCAGACAAACGTGTGGTGACTGGATTAAAAGGGGCTCCTTTGAAAAGCTGCCTCTTTCATTCAACCCCATTCATTGAGTCAGTGCTGAAAACTGTTCCTTTTGCCATCCTGTTCACTGAATTCAGCAGGAGGGACGGCCGAATCCAGCAACATCAGTGTATTTCAGACTTTTGGATCCCAGGCATTACGAATGTGTGCCAGAGATGGTGTGTTTAGTTGTAAGCATTCAGTGTTTGATGAAAATGGTAAAACTCTTGAACCCCAGGCTTATTATTCAGTCGTTAATATTAAAACTTATTTGTATCTCACATATACACAAACACACACTTTCTAAGACACTTATCCTTCTGGGTCACAGGGGGAGCTGGAGTCTATCCCAGCGGTCATTGGGTGCAAAGCAGGAAACACCCTGGACAGGTCGCCAGTCCATCGCAGGGCAGACATGTAGACACATACAGTCACACACACTTGGGGCAATTTAGCCTCTCCAGTTGGCCTGATTGCATGTCTTTGGACTGTGGGAGGAAACCCATGCAGACACGGGGAGAACATGCAAACTCCACATAGAAAGGACCCTGGTTGCCCAGCTGGGAATCAAACCCAGGCCCTTCTTACATCAATCCTCTGCCAAGCCCAAATTGTATATCTGTCTCCACATTTAAGGGAAATTCCAGTTTTTACATTCTCTGTCTAATTCAATCATTGAGATCAAAAACAAAGTCATTCAGAGTGTTTTGATGTAAGATAATTAATTGTAGAAAAACTTGCTGACTCATATTTGTTTACAGTGGTGCTGATAGGAACCAGGGGTTGTGATGTCTACAACACAAATCTAGACATTTTATTTACTATCCAAAACCACCATTGAACCTACACTTGTCTTCTGAGCTTTGTACATAGAGCTGATGGTGGTAAATCTGACAAAATATGGTTGGTTTTTGCCTATTTACATTTCCCCCCATGTATCTCTTCACAAGGAATGGTTTTTAAAATATGTTTTAGGCCAAAACATCAGGCCAAAACATCATCATCTCAGAACTAACACAGGGCCACATCTCTGGCATGAGGCAGCGTTTTCATAATCATTCAGTTTAGAGGCATAAACTTTGCAGACGTCTGGTTCCTGTCAACACCACTGTGAACAATTCTGACTTAAGTTGCTCTAAAAACAGAGCACTTTTACATCAAACCGCTTGAGTGCAGAAATTTTGAAAAAAACAGTAAATATATATTTTTTCAGACAAATCTAGCAGTTTATCTGTTCTTGAGTTTTGCTTTGCACCCAGTCACATCAACTTATTAGCATTAAAAATAATGTTCTGCCAAAAAAATGACATGATTAAGAGCAAGCGACATCATTTAAGTCTTCAGAAGAGCTATGCTCAAAAGCTGGTTCTGCTTTTGTGCACCCTATATATATGCATATATATATATATATATAAATAGTCACTGTTGTCGGAAGAAAACCTTGTATCTCCATTTTTGTCGTTTTCCAGTTTTTGACATAATTTAAAGGTGCCTGTCGCCCTTTACATTGTGTTTAAATTTCACGATGATTGGACCAAAAGAAACAGCCCAAAACATCTTGGAAAAAATTCTGGTTCAATTGACTTACATTAAAAGCAAAGTATATTTTTTCCTCCTCCTGTAAAGTTACCTTTTTGGAGATACGAGGTTTTCTCCCGACAACAGCTATATATATATATATATATGTAATATTACCATTTCTGGAATATTCATAGAAAAGTCATGTCATTTGCTGTTGAAAAACTGATGTTGGAAGGTGTAAACTTGATAACAGGGTGTCTGAAAGCCTGAAATGTTCCATCTCTCACATTCCCCTCCACCTCCATCACAGCTTCAGTATGATGGGGTTGTGCTTCTCAGCGTTATTAGGCACCAAAAATGGAAAGAGCGATATGTATTTGAAACTATGGAGTCCAGAAAACTTTCCTTGACAAAATATAAAATGCCCATTTGGCTCCAATCTCGTGGAATGATTTGGGCCTACATTCAAACCTTAAGGCAGTGGTTTGCTGTGAGTTGTGACTTGGCATGTGCTGATATAAATAATTTATATCACAATAATTACCTAGCTTTTTATTAAGGTTTGGAAGCTGCATCAGTGCTTTTTTCTGTCGGGTTTCCACCAGCTAAATGCCTCCAGCTAAATGAAACATGTTCAATGTCATTGTGGCCTGAGGGGCTGTTCAGATGATGACTCTTCAAACTCTCTTAAGAGTGCTATATCTTTTTATTGCTGCACTCCTCTAGCCTGAGTGTGGATTGTGTGTTTTCAAACTACATATTTAAGTTGAAAAAATGTTAATTCTTGTGCATTGTGCCAAATAAAAGAGCAACATTCATCGTCCACAGCTGACCATTCAAGACTCAAAATTACTAGTCATCATCCAACAAGAACAAAAGTAGGTTTTGGCTGTTTTATGACACAATAAATTGTATTCCTGACTTCTTTCTTTTTTGTGCTTTGTTATTGAAATATTATCTGTTTCTACTGATTATTATATACAGTGAGGTCAGAACGTCTGAGAATCGAAGATTTTCATTTAATCTTGTAAATAAACAACAGAAAGCTTTAGACTTTGGGAAAACTTAAAAATAAAGAAAAGTTGTGACAAGTAAAAGAAAACATACTCAAGATTCTGCATTATTTCTACATCACAGTTCAAATTGAAGCAGATTTGTGCAAAATGGTCAGATTAATTTTTTTTGTCTTATTCTTTCAAATGAAGTTTGTGATCAGATGACTCTCAGGTGTATCAGAGTCGTCCTGCTTTTTTTAGGCACGAGGTGCAGTGTGCATTTTCTGAATGCTCCCTTAATCAGTCCTGTGCAGCATGCATAGTCACGCATGCAAAGTGTAGCTGTTGAGTGTTGCACAAACAATAATGAAAGGGACGCATCGTTGCAATAGTTTTTTACAGTGAGCTACAGTTTTGCACATCAGTCATTTTGAGTATTTATATTGATACAAGATTGTAAATCCAGTATCAAGATTGTAAACCCAGATTGCGCCATGTCTGATTAGATATAGTCAGTTTGGTACTGTAAATCCTGCACTTTAACACTGATATCAAATTAACACGTCCAGCTGATAATGGCAGAGATCACTATTGGGGGCTTGCAGGTGTTTCAGGTGCACCTTGTTAGCTTACCATAAAACAAAGTACAGCCTCACAAAGTTCAACAGCGAACAGCAGATATAAACATGGGACAGTTGTCTGGTAAAAGCATTGCAAGGTTGTCTTCATCAGCTTGAACACACCTTCAGTCAGGACGCTGTGGACGAAGAACACCAGAAGAGGAAGATGGCGTCCAAGAAAGGCCTGACAGCCTTGGAGAAAAGTCTGATTGTTCTCTTTGTGGCCATGACCTTGGCCTACGTTGGCCTGATCGTGGTCTATGTCACTGAGAGAAACAACTCTGAAACTGAGAATGAAGAAGGTGAGTTACTTTTACATTCGTTTTAAGGTAGTTGTTGGTGCAGACCTTTGATCGTGTGCATATTGTTGAACTGTAAATCTGAAGGAACCGTGAACAACTCTGCAACTCTGCTGGAGTTTACTTCAGGCCCATGGACAATTGGTCTTTATAACATTTAGTCAAAAATAAATGAACTAAAATGACATTAGTTTAGTTTAGTAGCCTCTGTAACCTTCAACAGGGCATAATTGTGAATTATGAAGGCCTGATGTCAAATCAATAGCTTTGAGTTAAGAAAAGTTTTGGCTGAATCAGCACTGATTGGCTGAACTGTTTGTAATGTTGGATTTAATGTAAAACCCTGACATTCAGAAACCACTGTTAGATGTTTACAGCAGATAGAAACCTTAATACATTCCAAACGAGTCAACACAATCAATTGCAATAAACCTTTCGAACAAACTCACAATGATGCAAAGTTAATGTTGTTTCTAAAGGCCACTGACCCCACATTCCCATACAAACACCAACATTCCAATGTTGGCTTTATCTTGTTACAGAATGAGCACTGAAAAGCCAAGTGAACCAGTAAGAATGTCATAGAACAGTGTCAATGTGGAGAACGTTTTAGAACAATGTAAGCTGGAAGAGAACATTTTAGGACAGTATTAATGAGGGAGAGTTTTCTAGAACAGTGCGATTGGGGGGAGAGCATTTGAGAAGAGTATGATTGGGGTGGCTTCTTTGAACAATGTGAATGGGGAGAACATTTTAGACCAGTATGAATCGGAAGAGTGCTTTCTACAATGGTGTGAATGTGGAAGAACATTTTAGAAATGTTTGAATGAGAATTGAATTCTAGAACAGTGTGAATGGAAGAAGAGCTTTATAGAACAAAGTGAACTGGATGAAACATTCTAGAACAGTGTGGATGGCAGGAGAGTGTTATAGAATAAAGTAAACTAGACAGAACATTATAGAAAAGTGTGAATAGGGATAGAGTTCTAGAACAGAGTGAACGGAAGGAGTGCATTCTAGAACAAAGTGAACTTAACATTGTAGAACAGTGTGAATGGGGAAAGAATTCTAGAACAGAGTGAACGGAAGGAGTGCATTCTAGAACAAAGTGAACTTAACATTGTAGAACAGTGTGAATGGGGAAAGAATTCTAGAACAGAGTGAACGGAAGGAGTGCATTCTAGAACAAAGTGAACTTAACATTGTAGAACAGTGTGAATGGGGAAAGAATTCTAGAACAGAGTGAACGGAAGGAGTGCGTTCTAGAACAAAGTGAACTTAACATTGTAGAACAGTGTGAATGGGGAAAGAATTCTAGAACAGAGTGAACGGAAGGAGTGGGTTCTAGAACAAAGTGAACTGAACAGAACACTGAATGGGAATAGAATTCTAGAACAGTGTGAATGAGAGGACAGTATTATATAACAATGAATTTAACAACATTTTAGAACAGTGTGAATGGGAATATAATTCTAGAACAGTGTGAATGAGAGGACAGTATCAAAGAACAAAGTGAATTAAACAGAGCATTGTAGAACATTGTGAATGGGGATAAACGTCTAGGACAGTGCAAATGTAAGGAGCGCATTATAGAACAAAGTGAACTGAACAGAACATTGCAGAACATTGTGAATGGGGTTAGAATTCTAGAACAGTGCAAAGGGGAGTACAGTATTATAGAACAAAGTGAACTAAAAAGAACATTGTAGAACAGTGTGAATGGGAATAGACTACTAGAACAGTGTGAATCAAGAGAGAGTATTATAGAACAAAGTAGACTTAAGAGAGCATTGTAGAACAGTGTAAATGGGATCAGAACATTATAGAACAAAGTGAACTGAATGGTGTATTTTAGAACAATGTAAACTGATGGAGAACATTGTAGAACAATGTGAATGGGGGAACATTTTAGAACAGTATGATTGGGGGAGTGCTTTCTGCAACAGTGTGAATGGGAAATCAGTTCTAGAACCGGAGGACAGCATTATGGAACAAAGTGAACCAGACAGAACATTGTAGAACAGTGTGAATTGGGATAGAATTCTAGAGAAGTGTGAATGGGAGTACAGCATTTTAGAACAAAGTGAACTGAACAGAACATTGTAGAACGTTGAGAATGGGTACAGACTTCTATAACAGTGTGAATATGGATAGAGCATTATAGAAGAAAGTCAAGTGAACAGAGCATTCAAGAACTGTGTTAATGGAGAGAGAAGTTTATAGAACAGTGTTAATGGGGGAGAACATTTTAGAACAGTGTAAGTCAGGGAGAAGGTTCTAGAGGATTTCAAAAACCTACACAGGTATTTCACACCAACATAAGGTTTGGTTTCGTTGGCATTTTGGTCAGTGTGCTTTGGTCAAAGTATTCAGAAACATTTTGAGGACCATGCTTGAAAATTCAGAAGGGTGGCATTCATAAGGCTACACGACATCTACATCACCCTTTAATGACAACTGCAACAAATCTATATGAACATTTATAAAGGCTTATTTCAACAAGCGTCAGTTGTCATTACAATTTCAGAGGTGAAATCACTTCAAAATTGGCAAAATCAGCCCTTATGACAGCTGACGTTAGTCGGAATAAGCCTTTATACATGTTTATGTAGGGTTATGTACATTATGAAGGTGTCATGTCTCCTAAGAACGCTGCCCTTCAGTAAAATGCCTCATATATCTTAAGATAAGCCCTAATCAGCGTTTGTCAGAACAGCTCTTGTGATTACAATGTAAGCTCCACACATTGGTTACATTTTTGCTGTAGTATGAAAGTGTCTGTTGCTGCAGTAGCTAAGAACAGCTTGGGCATCACAGCAGTTCCAGATTGTGGCATTAAATCATTTGGATAGCTTATTTTTAGGCTTTGTTCTGACCTTCAAACAGAAATGCCATGTCATTCTGCAATGGATTTATTAGTACAAGCGTTCGTTCTTCTCTTTCACAGTTTGTCAGAGAACTTTTGTTGTGAGTGTATCAGTACAGGCTTATCAGCGCCGCACCACACTCATTTCACACCAAACCGCTGGAAGATCACATCTTTCTTTCTGGGTCGCTCTCTTTCTTCTTACACACCAAAGCATGGCCTCGAACCTCCAAAGGCGAGAGGCGCATAGACCGTTTTGGAGGCTTTGCTCACATCGTATATCCATCAGGTGCAGGGACGCAGGCCTGGACGCTCAGAGAGGTTTGAAGGCTGACAAGAGTTGCACTGATGTGTTCAGCCGCTGGCCACACTCCAGTCTGACAGACCGAGAGACGCAGATGTGTGTGAGGAGAACATCGCTATGTAGGTTAGCTTTTTCTGGGAAGGACAGGGAGGCGCTGCTCTTAAGACACCCGCTGCGATTTATTTCTTTATTTATTTCAGAGGCTATGGGCGCCTCCGTGTCGCCCATCCAGGCGTGAATCCGCCCCGTGAATGCACTGACGTCTACAAGGTCAAGCTTGTCCTAATTTAGCCAAAGAAAGCTTCCATGTTACATGTCCATTACACTGAATCTCAGGGGAACTAGACAGATCTGAGAGGAAAGTATGGAATATGGTATTTGCTAAAGATTTATATTTGTATTTTTTATTCAACTGTATTTCTTAATCATCTTTCTCCCTGCTCGCTGCAGTATACCATATTTTCACTTATCATAGACAGCATGACACACCATATAATCTGTGATAATTCTCCCAGGAACCTCAAATGTGTGTCGTAAGTGATCATTCAAAATGGCTGCACACAGCTTGAACACTTAGAGCAGCTGTCACTTATTTTATGAGATTTTTACTTATTGTGATAGCACACATGTTGATTGATGTTTAGCAATAAAACTGCTGTCTATCAGACAGTGGCATAAGCATTGGAGGCCAGGCAATTGGAATGGAGCCTATAGCACAGGGGGCTGTGTTGAACAGACCCAAGGGCTGAATGATTGATTGTTTTTTTAATCGAAATCGCAATTTTCAAGTCACAAGAGTTGCAATTTTAATCATATCTCAATTTTCCAAAATGTTGGCATAGTTAATTACACAAAGTGAATCAAAGAGATTTAATGTGAATTGCTTGGTTCTAGAAATTCAGCAAGTCGGAATTCTTCACAGTGATGGTGACAGGAATGTCTGAAGAGTTTTGTGCCTCTAAAAGCTCCCTCACAGAAAGTTAATACACTTAATGGTTAAAAATACACTGTATGATGTCTGAGTTTTGACCTAAAATATATTTTTAAATCCAGTCATGGCAGAGAGGTAGACATAGGGTGTTGTAGGGCAAAATAGTCCCCTAATAAACTTTTTTTTAATTTACTGCTATATAACCTTTATGAACTTTATATATAAAAACTTAGAAAATGTATGAAGGTTCACTGGTCATTTTGGGTGGGGAAAAAAAGATGGCTATACTTGCATTCTAGATGTGGTGACCCTGGTTTCTGTCTCCAGCACTACAAAGAAATCAGAGTTTCTCTACAATCAGCCATTTCACATTAAATCACTGTGAATGATTTTGTTGACATCTTAATGATTGAATTATGCAGAAACTATGAAATATCGATGGAATTCCACTGTAAGTGGAGAAACTTAACCTAATAATGCAAAGCTTGTGAACTGGAAGTCTGGCCCACTACATTTATCATTCAAGCCACAAGCCTGAAAAAATGGATGTGCTTGACTTCTTGGCCAAAAAAGGCCCAGAGCTGAATTTGCCTGTAATATCCTGGTTACTCCACTGCTACTAGAGCTTTGCTGGAATGGTGTGATGTACTGTTTGATAACTCTAAATAACTATGGTCACAAGCACATAATTCTTTGTGAGTGCAGATCATGCCTTCAACATGGTGTTAGTATGACGGAAGACTGATTGAGGGAGGGAACTTGGGCTTGGGCTTCTGCCTGGAGCTAGAAGGCCAGAGCCCATCTTGCTTTTATAACAGTGGTAGGACTGACATAGGTGAGGAACAGATGAGGGTGGTGGTGGGTATTGCGAAAACTTTGTCACAGGAAACAGGTAGAGATAG